TCAGAACATTGGCAGATCTGCTTTGGACAAGACTGAGCTTGACAGCTTTTACTGTGTGCATCTGGGTTTTCTTGGGGGGGGGGGTAGCGAGGGAGAAGTGGGTTTTGTTTTAAGAGCTACTTAAGAATGTTGCATTATAATAATCCAAATTTTAAATTATCTATCTAGCTATGACATTGAAGATATTAAAAAAGCTGGCATGCAACCCAGTAAGCTGTTTTTTCTGTGCCTGTTGTGCCCAAAACAGTTTAAACAAATGCAGAACTGTTGCAGAGCATGCAGTGCTCTCAAACATCTGATATAATCATTCAGCTCCAGGTAAAGATGATGACTTAAAGGTTACAAGATCAGTGTTAGATATGGATGACATGGATGATAGGGATTGGGAAGGAGGAGGTAAAAATTTTAAAATCAAAGAAATATGCAAGGTAATTTTTTATTTCATCTTAGGATATTAAAATTGAGGATTGGTGTGGCTTGATCTTTAATTTTAAAAGCCTCAACTTGGTGTAAAGCCTATGGAAACTTTGGACAGAGTCTCTTCCTGTTGGCTTTGCCTTTAACTCTCATCCAGCCCCATCACTTGGCCTTTCTCATGCCAGGAGGTGGTGGGAATGTCACCTGTAGTGTTGAAGTGAGCTCTGTAAAGCTGGGATTGAAAATGTGGGTCTTTAGCACATGAAATTACGTCTATTTGTATTAGCCTATAACATGACAAGAAAATCTTAGACTAATCTCCTAGCAATCTGCTGTTTCATTAAGGATGATTAGTTCAGTTATCTCTTCTTTATTAATTTATCCAACTACATTAATCAACTTATGAATAGAAAAGGTAACCAGGACTTTTTTTTTTTTAATATTTTCAGGAAAAAGGGAATCTAGACTAAAACCATAATTCTGCTTGCTAAGAAACTCTTTTGTGCAACAAAATATTGGCTCTTAGGACATTTGCTTACCCTGACACGAAAGAAACCCCAGAAGAAGATTATTTCATTTGTCTCTCAAAAATCTATATAGTTTTTAAATAGAATGCAAGTTAGCTTCAGAGACTTAGTGGCAAATAGCAAGTTGGGGATATCCAGGGTCACAAAATCATGAGTTTCCAATTTCTGTATTGTCCAATTAGTGTGATGGCTCTTTAAGGCCAAAATATACAAAAAAGGGATAGATTATAATTTTGTTTGTGGACCATTATTTATCACTGCTGCTTTTGATGATCTGCATTAATGAAAAGAATATTTAAGAAACCATACAGAAAGCTAACCCAATTCTCTTTTAATGCATTAGGTAATTAAATCTTTATTGAGATGTGAGAGCTGTGCAACCACAAAAGAAATGAAAACAAAATAAAACCAGGAGTGATCGTATCTTTATATCTAGACACATATTGGGAAAAATCTGTGCATAGAAAGAAAATGTGCGGTCTGTCATGTGTCAGGTCACGTAAAAGATTCTGACTATCCCACAGGTCTGTCCTGAAAATATGAATGCATGTAGTAGGATTATGGAAGTGAATGGCTCCCTTACGTACATTAAGATTTCTCTCCTATGCAGCTTAGGACGTACACACCTGCAAAATTAAAGCCTGTATATTCAAGTTTCTTTTAGCCACTATGAGAACAAGAAAATTAATGGAGCTAAATTTTGTGCAAATAATTTGGGACTTTTCAGGGCATTTTCAGTGGACGTTGCCGGGTTCCAATTGGATTTTGTAATGCTGCGTTTTGAGGATAGCCAAGCTGTGGTTCAGGAGACTCGTGTGATTCACAGGTGGTTCAGGTTGTGGCTGGAGCACGTGAACAGCCTCATCCCACGGCCATCAGTGGGAATCTGCAGCTCTGTCTCCCTCAACACCTTCACCATAACTTCTGCCCCTAGGAAGATCTCAGGAAGTGTTTCAGGTGCAGAAATTCTAGCTTTCATGTTTTAAGACTGGGTTTTACTGGTATGCATACGTGAATGTGCCCTACCAAGTAACCTGTGCTTACAAATGTGTAACATCTCACCACTGGTTCTGCTGATTTGCACCAGACTATGTGGACTATTTACCCCCTTCACACTGAATAACATATCCAGAATGGAAAAATGCAAAATTGTTATTTTTGTCACAGAAGTGTAATGTATGATAAATGTTTGGATAATGGTTCTATAGCTCATTATGTAGAGACAACCTCATAATAATATTACCTCAGTAATAATTTTTTACAGTTTTGAAGCTTATAGAATAGCAGTTTTTCCTTTTACTGCCCTAGGAGTTCACTGAGAAATGGGGGAAACCCCCCCTATCCAGAATACAAGTTATCTTGTATTTTTGCTAACGTATATAATTACTGATGTGGGTGTTCCCACATCTTAGAATGGAAAAAGTACTTGCCAAGATTGAAAAACCATAGTAAGCAATATAAATGATTTCTTTTGCACACCAGGATTTCTTGCTGAGACAAGTGAACTGGAACTGTGTTTAAAACCATATAATTATACTCCTATATATCATTTATTAAATCAGATTTCCCCCACCCTCTTTTCTTTCAAGTCACTTCTGAAAGTGCTTTTCTTCCAGAAGGCCTGTTAGCTGGGGTCCTCCCCTTTGAAGAACTCTTTCCAAACAATGGAAATGAATTAAAATGGAAACAGCTCATCAAGACCCATGTGCCATGCTGTCCCTATACCATCATTATTGCTCTTTGCTTGAATCTTTGTTCTAGCTCTAGTGCCACTGAAGTCTGCTTGGGCCAGACGTGAGCTGTTGACATGAACCCAGATATCCATGGATTGTACAGAACATTTTGATTATCCAGCCTGTTTCCTCCATGACACAGTTTCATTTGTCCATTCCTTGGTCAGGGCCAGGACTGCCTCTTCAGATAGTCCATGGGCTGTAGAAAGATGTTTATGGATTTCCTAATTTCACGCTCATTTCTCTGCTGTTTAAAATATAAAGGAGCTGACCCAGTGTTTTCATACCCATGCAATAGAAGGACTAATGAACGATTTTTTTCTAAGTACACAGATTGTGTATGCAAAGGTCCAGTACGCAAATCCTGACTTGTTTGTGCCTCAGGTTGTGCATACAAAAAGCTGTTTAACTTTGAGCCAATACATCTTTCTTTCCAGCACCCAAACCTCACTCAACCCACCTCCTCTGAGAGAGCCTGAGGAAAAGATTTTATACCATGCTCCAAAAGGCTGAGGAGTAAGTCTGTGCTGGGCAAAGGGACCATCTGAATATGAGCTGGTACCAGCAATGAAACCCTTTGCGACTGCAATCATAGTAGAGGTTCCAGGTTTTGGCTCATTATCAGGGTCCTACCCACCATGCAATTGGTGTAAGTGCGTGGGGATTGCCACTACTGCTGTTGAGTTTGTGGTGTAGGTAGTACCACTCACGTTATTAGAATAGCTTTCTCCAGTTTGTACTGGAGACTGCATGCTAAGGTGTGGTAGCATCTGTTTGGATTTTCACTGAGTTGTTTGAAAGTCTAAGGTCTTATCAGAATTGTTCTTGCATGCTGAAACCCTTGCATTGTAGACCACAGTCTGGACAGTGGGGTTTTTTCAGGTTTAAATATGATTTCATATGAGCAAAAGTTGTCAGTATGGCACTGCAGTTTTCTCTTTAGGCTCGCTTTTTCCTTTGGTCGTTCTGTTAATTAACTGCTGCTGAGAAAGGAAAGTTGTCTATTAAGGGTTTGATACATCAAGGGAAGAAATCCTTTTACAACTCACTGGTATACACATATGATGAAGGTGCATTAGATTTTAATCTAAATTTCATTTCCCTCCCCATGTTTTCCCTCTTCAGTCTGTTCTTCCCTCCTGTCCTTTTTTTGTCGCTGTTTTCACTCCTTTTCTCCTTTCAGTCCTTTTGAAGTGCTGTTGAGCAGTGCTCCAGTTCTGGTTGAACCCTTCAGTCCTGTGGTACAAGACTAGAGCTCCAGCAGTTCTCATGTGGTGCTGCTGCATCCAAGATGTCTAACTCAAGTATTTAAGGAGATGTACTTTAGAATGTTTTCCTTGTGGTTTAATTATTTTTTTAATGGTTAGGGTTTTTTGTACTCCCATTTTACTGTGTGTTTTAACGAAATGAATCTGAAATAGAACAAAACACCATCATCTAAAGGAAGATGCTGAGAATTATGAGAGTTATTTATGCTGACCGTTATTTAGTGAATAACTGTTGTGCTCGGGATCATCCTAGTTAAGGAAGTATTCACTCTCATGAAAAAAGGTACAAGCCATTCAAAACGGAAAGAAACCAAACCTAGTTAGAAGAAAGACAAGCATGCACTGGGTACCTGCCATGGTCAGAAATTTGCTGAATTTACTGCAAGGTCTGCCATGGGAAAAGTTATAACATATTGTTCTTTTATTGTATTTTATGCCTTTTATTAACTTGCAAATCTAATTAGGAAGCCAATTGGCACACAGTATGCAATGACGGAAGCAGTACCACCTATTCTTGCGGCAACCTTGGCTTTGCTTTATGGGTGGTCTTTGTTCTTAAAGGCTTATATGAATACCACATATTAGCTGAGCTGGTTCTCCCTTGATGTCTGTGTTGTATTGTACACATGTTGTCACTGTTTGACACTTAAACAATCCAGATTCTTACCCAGCCCGTATTTAGTGCCATAATAAACTTTGAGCATATGTTTTGGAGAGCAACAGTAACATTCATCACTGTAATGTGACATATAAATAAGCACTACTGGAGAGTGTACATGCCTTCAGAGGGCAGAGCTGGACAGGAAGGTGTGTGCCAAAGGGATGTGGTCATCTGCCTTGCCCCTACTGGGCATTTTTCTTCTTTGCCTTGTTTCAGTAAATCAGAATGGTTATTGACGTGACCTACAAAATTCGCCCTCTACATATGAAAAACACACGTTGTTACAAAACTTTGCTAGTGAAACATTTCCTGTTTGGGGCTTTGGCTTGACAAACAGTAGGTGTAAGGCATAAACCATTCCTCCTCTCTTCATCTCACTTGCTCTGTCTTTCAGCAGGGAGCTCTGTGGAGGCCTGGTCTGAAGCACTGGTGTGGCAGATGTGGTGTACCAACGCTTCCTATTCCTGTGAGTCTCCTGTTGTTTTTACAAAATTCTTGTATTTGAATAGTTTTGTTTCAGTTTTGGGTTTTGTTTGTTTGTGGGTTTTTTTTTCTATTTCTGGGTGGGGTTTTTTTGAGGTGGTTTTGGTATAAATTAAGAGGGAATCACATACGAAGGGCTTCAGAATTTGACTAGTCCCTTGTTCTGTCTGAGCAAGACTAGAGGCTTACAAAGACTAATGGCAGCACAACAGATTGAAAGTGTGTCCATATCCTGTTGAGTAAACACATTCTGATTCAACAAGAGCTTTGTCTGAACAAGGACAGAAAAGTTGAACCTTGAACAAGGAAATAATTTATGTAAGTCTTAATGAATATGTAACGTGGAACGGTAATTATAAAAAAGAGGGTATCTATTTTGATGGCCTGACTTTAAGTGACAGATCACCTAGTGTCTCCTTGGCCTGAGGAGGACCATCAACTTGCTAATTACAGACGTATATGAATCCAATGAGAGTATCCTCCCATTATACCGATAGCTCTTTAAAGAAACAGATGTTACAGATGAAAAAGAGCAAATATGCGTAAAACTGAAATAACAGAAAAACCATCTGCTTCTATTGCTTTGACTAATACTTGAATTTTGTGTTGTTCAATATCACTGAATGCAAGATAATTATTAAATAGAGCAGGAAGCAGAAACTTCTGAGAGCTGGTTGTTTGTTATAGAAACACAATGGTTAAGGTAATATTCTTGTGTGTTGATGTAAAGATCTTGGTTGTTCCTTGTGCTGAAGTAGTATTTCTTTGGAAATAAGTGGCTTTTCTGAGGTAGCCTTTCTGCTCTGTACCTGTATGCTCTTCCACACTCTTGGACCATGTGAGAGGAGTCCCCTGCAAACTTGTTCACATCTCCCATGAGTGAGGTGGCTTTGCAGGTAAGAGGCAGCAGATGCAGAGCAAGCTTCTACCACAGTGAAAACTTAAAAATGAAAAATAAAACCTACACAGCATATTCCAGCACTCAAACTCAGCTCATGCTATGAACTGAAACAAAATAAAGGTGAAGCTGTGCTAGGTGTTGTCACAGTACCAACAATGCACGTCTATTTTAAGACAAACTCTCAGTTTCTTATGGCAAAATACACATGTGCATCAGCAATGGGTCCTACTTGAAAAGTGGGATTTTTTTCATTTCTGACCTTGGTTTGAATTTTATTCACTGTCCTCATTAGGAAAATGAAGACTAACACTGTTCACCCTTCTGCCTTTCCCAAAGTACAAGCGTTTGTGGCAGTATCTAGGCCTGGACTCTCTGCCCTGATTTCATGCTCTGCATATGTGCACGGCGTGCAAGAGAGCAGGGAATGCATTTGAGAATAAACTCTGTTAGCTCTCAAAGAGAGATTTTAAAGTTTTAATGTTATGGTTGTCTAATTTGATATAGTATTTGGTCATTGAATTGTATCATTGCAAGAAACATGAGAACAGCAGCATGACCATGAGGTATATTGTATTACAGAATGAGGTTACACAGCACCAAAGCACCACCATATTTCAGTAACAAATGCAGCTTCTGGGGAGTTTTGTGATCATTGCATAAGCTTCACTGCTCCCTAGAAGATGACACTGATTCAGACAGAAAACACTAATTCAGTTCTTGCCAGCAGAGCCAATTGTCTCTCTGATTACATTAGACTGACAACTGGTTTTCAATGTCATTGTCAGCCACAACTTCTCATACATGGTGCAGTGGAGCATGAACCAGACTGCCTTTATTTAATTATTTCTGCCCATTTCTATATTTGTGAATAAGGCAAATGTGAGGCTCTCATCTAGCTGATAGAAAAATGTAGGTGTTTACATTACAAAACTCAGGCTTCGACAGTGGTGTCCGGCATTTTTTAAAGGCAGATCCTGAATGTCTGTGTCATTCTAAAGAATGAATTTGAAACTATATACATGTTTGGTTTTTTTTTTAATGTTGGTTGACTAGAATTGACCTAGGATTTTCTTGATTAAATAATTATAGCATTAAAAGATTTGCTGAATATTTTTTTTCTGAATTAAGTTGTGATTGAAGACTGCATGTGCGTTTCCCATTGCAGCACTTGTGGTTTAAAGTTTGCCTTGTGTTGGTTGGTGTCATTTGGGCATGCAAGCCTTGTGGTCCATGCTGTGCCACGGTTTGGATGAGCATGAAGCTCAGTAGATGTCTCTCCAGCACAATGCAGGTCCGGCAGTGGTCCATGCCACTGCTCCTGCACTAAGCTGCTGCAGCCGTGGTGAGGGTATGGCAATGCAGAACATAGTGCATGGGAGCTGGCAGGCAGGCAGGGTAAGAAGATGGGCTCCAATCTGCATGTCTTTCAGCCAGCATGTGCAGTGCATTGGCTCTGTGTGATCAAACCCAGTGTGTCCAGCCAGATCTGTTGTTGTTTAACAGAGAGCTTGTCTTTTCTGGTGTGTCACAACAGTGGTGGGCTGACACCCATTTCCTTCTTTGCAAGTAGACTCTGGACAGCTGAGACATAGCCCAGTCACAAGCCATCCATAGTGCAGAAAACATCATGTTCTCTGCATTGTCGCCCAGGCTGTGGTTTGTTGGGCTGTCTGGAGCACAGGACTTCCAGTACAGCTCTGCTGTACTTACAAGCACATGTCTGCAACCAGCCTCTTCCCTTCCCCTCTGCTTCCCTCACATGTCATCCCATAAAAGGGGGATTTAGGGAACTGGGAGGTTGCTGCAGGGGTTCAGGGGCAGGCTGCAGAGATGCTACTCTTTTGTGCGAGTTTTTCCTATGCCCCCTTTGGTTCTTGTTTCCTCTCAGCAGAAAAGGGATAAAGTGGGGGGAAGCATTTTTACTTTTTAAAAATCTTTTTATGCACCTTTTCTTGAATAAAGATTTTTTTTTTTCCTTTTAATGCTGTTAGGGTTATAAATGTATTGTGAAAAATTTCAACTATATTTTTTAAAATGGATCTTGTTTCTTGAGGAGCTGTGGGCTTAAGAAAAGCAAGAGATTGATAATAAAATCTAGAGAGGTAATAGCAGTGAAGGTTGCTCTGCCAAATAATATGCTGTTAAAACAGTATTTTTGCATGAATTTTATACGTGTGTATTAAAAATACCCCAGAATGTCTTAGAAAAGCAGGTAGTCAAGGAGGAAGCTCCACAAGCTCCCAGTAGCTCTGTGAAAAGCAGCTCTATGAAATAGTTGCTGCCAACTCTTTGTGAATCTTCCGTGCCTGCAGAATAAGAGATTTATGTTCTTCATAAACGTGTATCCTTCTATTTCTGAATTCTCTTCTACTGCTCCCATTGCCCAAAAGTCAAACAAAGCTAACCTCCTCCAGGTCCCAGAGTGAAAAAATGCAAACACACTGCATTTAAAAGTAGATTTAGCAACTCCAAAGTGGGCGATTTGGTTCCACCCATCAAACCGGAGTTCTCTGATCTAAAGTCAGATGGGTGCTACTCCTAGCGAGTTGTGTGCCAAATCTAATTAAGCTTTGCATAATGTGCATCTTGGGTGATTTGATTTATTAGCTTTGTTTGAAGAAAGTAATAATAAAAAAAGAAAATGGCTTTGGTAATAAGCTGTTTGAATTCCCTGTGCAAGTAGGCACAGTCCCTCCTGGATCTCCCTGAAATGCTCTTGAGGTGCACAGGTTACTGATGCAATGCTGGGAGCTGGTGCAAAGAGGGTGTTTGATCTGAGATCCCATCTCCCTTGCTCTTCTGGCTTCTGTCTCAGCATAGGTGCTCAAGTAGTCCCTACTGTATATAATGATTCCGATTTTCACAATGACCTTAAACCCCAGGAATGTATCATTTATCTCCATTTGTACCACAGGAACCTAGTGTACAGAAAGACTAGAGATGGCTGTTGTGTAGAGCAGTAGATACCCACATTAGAGCTAAGCATTGGAGTTCACAATTGGAAAAATAGTCCCAGTGCTAGTGTAGCAAGGTTGCTTTTGATAGCTAAACCAGCTCTCATGTATGTTAATTTGAAGTGTGCAGGGTCAACATGTCCTGCTGCCTAGATCCTCAGCACCTCAGGTTCTATTGATTCTCATGGGTCATTGTTGTTGAGAAAAATGACTGCTACTGCTGAACCCAGGACAGTCATGTTATGGTGGCTGGCCAAGTTATGGTGACTGGCCATTGTGTCATATCCTGTAGCCTTCCTGAAGCTGGGTCTCGCCATTGTAATGCTGGCTGTAGTGTCTTTTGTGTCTTGTGCTCCATGGATTACAGAGGAGGATTTCCTGCAGGGCTCCTGATAAAGCTAGCATTTATTCTGGCAGGGTTCCTTTTTCTCCTCTAGCCCTCAAAGCACCAACTCATAGGTCTATTGCCGCAAGACCGAAGACAAATCTGTGTTTGTGAATACCAGCACTGCACTGCTGGTGTTCATCACACAACATGGAAAGGTTTACTGGGAAATGACATGCACTGAAAATTGACAGATACTGCTTGACTGGCTGCAATAACTGCCCTAGGATCAGCTGGAAAAGCAGTTGCCTTGGGGTCAGGTCAACAGTGATATTTCAGCATAGAATCTGTGGTAGTTTGAATGTGAATAAGGGACAATAGGGCTGGGGACTCAGATAGCAGGACCTCTTTTCCCAGTCATACTACTTAGCTATAGCAGGCACAAAAACATGATCAAGTTTTGCACATCTGCAGCTTCTACTCAGTGATTGTTAATTATTTCCAGAGAAAATGTCTGAAAATCTTTACATTTACAGTGATGTTGAAGACTAGCAGTTCACAGTGCTGTTGTGTTATCCTGGGGTAGAATGAACTACTTTAAGATGCTCTACTCTAGTAATGTTCTTCCTGGAGTATGAAGGGAAGTGATGTATGTTTATCTTTGCTCTTTTCAGGATGATCTCTTAGAAATTTTCAAGGGTTATTGCTGCTTAAAGTTCGGAAAGTGGGAATTAGTAAGTGTCTGTCTCTTCAACAGCGCTATTTCGTGCTACTGAGTTGATGCAAATAATACAAACACTGTCAGCATGATTTGATGAAACATTACTTTTTTATGTTTTTTGATTTATGTTAAATTTAAAAAATCACTCATTTTGAAGAATATTCATAGAGCACAATGCTTAAATACAAATAATTTTTGCATTTTAGTCCTTTGTGTGTTGAAATATTCGACATGATTACTCTGAAAAATCAAGCCTTGAAATGTCTTACCAGTTTTAATAGCTAGAAATTAGCCTCTTTTCCTTTTATTGTACTACTATATAAAATAAAAATACACTTTTATTTCCACTGGAAAACTAGAAGTGCGAATGACAATACATGGTTTAGCAACGATTTTAAGTGAGTTAAAATTAACACAAATTTGAGTTCCGCCAAAACGCTCTCACATTTTTAATCATGATAATGTTAATAATCATGTTAATTTGTTGGGGTGTTTGGGATTTTTACTTTCTTGATCAAACATACAGCTGAACCTTGTGGTGGAAACATTCACTTAAAATAATGATAGTAAGCAAACATCAGTAAATATGCATAGAAATGTTGAATACATACACTTACTGGAAAACTATTCCTAGCATTTCACTTCTGCCAAGCAGCAGAAACAAGCTATGGAGCCTCTTGTAGGTAATCAACATGGTTTGAATTTCGAATATTAAAATATTCAGAATTTACTTACAGATCTTTAATACCTCCCAGAACTTCTCTGACACTTCATTCCAAATGTCATAACAGGGGGAAAGGGAAACTAATTTGTTTGCCAGTCATTTTTTTGTCAGAGACAGATGGAAAATGGTTCATTACGGAAAATTCCCACTCCTGTGCAGCTAGATATGACATGAATGTTTGAGGAAGAAATGAAAAAGGTATTTATGTTCTCCACAATATCAGTACTTTGTGACAGTGCCCATTTGTCTACTCCAGCTGCCCAATGACTCT